GAGATCATGTTCGGGTAGGAATTAAAGCATGTGGGGTAGATATCATGTGGGGTAGGATCTTTCATTTTTATTATCGTTTTGATTTACCTCACTAACCCTTTTATTTTTTGTTCTCTTTTTATTTTCATCACTTGCATCATTTAAAAGAGGTGTTGATCCACCAAAAACGTGTTTGCTAAACATAAATAATCTGTATTAATGGACAAAGGGGTTGTAATACAAGAGATGAAAATGCAGAGGACAGTCTACAACGAGACTATGTGTCACATATAATCCAAAAGACGTGGTGTCTGCAATTGAAGAGTATATCACTATATTGCATTATAAAGGACTCAATGAACCGGGTCTACATCAAGCACAATGAAAGTCTATCTTTAAAGAACTGACTGGCAGAAGTTGCAGGGGCAAGATGAAGACCACTCTTCTTAGCAGTCACTTCAAAGACGACAATGGCAAAACGATAACTGAAATTGGAGACCATTGCTGACGAATTCAAGAAACAAACAAATGGACTTCACATAGTTCCTATCAATTAAGGGCTCCAATGACGTATTCGTTGGGAACAAGCTCAACAAAAGATAAATGCCGGAGGTGCAGTCCTTCGAGATTTTTTGGAGCAAACAACTCGTCATTTGCATGGTTCATCTAGAGAAGCCAGATCGGTTCGACAGGTTATTCAACCGGTGACGGATGAAGGCGGAAGACTAGCCAACATGTCAGAAGCTGTCAGAATATTTTTTGTCTCTTAAAAGATAAAACACTTTTGTCCCCAATAAGGATTATTTCTAATAACAGACACATTTTTGGATTAATGCCTCTGACATTTCATGTATCATGCATTTAGACATTTGGCATTTTGTTATTTTCTTCACATTCACATTAACTAACATATACATGTCTCATCAAAAGGAGAAATATTGGATACACCGCCTCAAGCATTGGACACACTTCATCCGCATAACACTCGTTTGAAGAAGAAGAGGATGGAAGCCAGAATTACACAAATCGAGGAGAATATGTTGAAACTACAGAAAGAGCTAGAAGACAAGATAAACCAGAGCAGTCGAAATACTCTGGAAACAATCACAAAGAACCAAGAGTCCTTGGTTGATCAAATCGTTGCCAAGTTAGTTATCCTACAATAGACCAGTGCGCCTGGGGCAGGTTCACCGGAAGGGGTAACTATACAACCTACACCGCAAGTGGTTATCTCACTTGAAATCTTACCAGAACTTCGAGGGGACTCATCTGCTGCAAAAGCGAAGCCCTCGTCCTCTGTATTTAACCTTAAGAATAATCCGGGTTATTACCATGTACCGGATTTGGACGAAGAGGACAAAGCGAAGAAGATGGAGGAAAAAATCAAACAATTGGAGGACCAAATGAAGGTAGTCAAATGAGACCATAACTACCATGAAATCGATGCCGCGAAACTCAGTCTAGTCCCGGACTTGGTTCTTCCTCCGAAAAATCAAACAATTTGAGGACCAAATGAAGGTAGTTTGACGGGAACAGTTGTCCATCCGCTCACATCACCATGTTCTACCGAAATATGACAGAATATGGAGGAAACAACCAACTCCTGATCCACTGCTTCCAGGAGAGTCTGTCGGGCTCAGCCATTCGGTGGTACAACCAGTTAAGCCGATCAAATATCAAGACCTGGAAGGACCTGACCAAGTCATATCTGGAACAATACAAGCATATCAATGATATAAGGCTAGATCGAGTTATGCTACAAAGCATGGAAAAGAAGCATAATGAAAGTTTCAGGCAATACGCACAAAAATGGAGGGACTTGGCTATGCAAGTTCATCCACCGTTGGATAAAAAGGAAACCCGAAAGCTCTTCGTACAGACCCTGAAGGCTCCATACTTTGGGCACTTGGTTGCGATCACATCAGGAAGCTTTTCAGACTTGGTTATGGCCGGAGAAGTGATTGAGTTGGCCATAAAGCAAGGCAAAATTAAGGATGGGGAGGCCAGTAGGAAACCTCCTATGCGAGAGAGGGATAGAGAAATTAACAACATCAAACACATCAATAAAAGTGTTACAATCTCCGGCCCAAAATCAACTGCAGCTGTACCATTAGGTACTTCTAAACAAGATTTTAGAGAACCCCGGAAAGAAATGGAGCATTTTGACCCTATTCACATGACCTATAAGGAGCTTTACCAACAACTTCTTGACACCCATATAGTGTCACCATATCCGGTAGAACCCATGAAGCCCCCATACCCCAAGTGATATGATGAGAATGCACATTGTGAATATCACGGCGGTGTCCCAGGGCACACAATTGAGAACTGTTACGCATTCAAGAGAGTTGTACAGAAGATGCGTAATCAAAACTGGATCGACTTCAACAACTTGGGGCATCCAAGTGAGGAAGACCATTTCATCATTTGAGACATTTTGTTTGAATTTGTTTTTTCCTCTCAAGGTTGTGTAAGGACATTCGAATAAATTTATGTTACTTTAAAGATGTTAAGCAATAAACCACGTTTGCGAACTTGCAATTCTTTGAATATCATTTGAATTAAGAAACTCTGTAAATAGTTCAAAGTTACAGATCTTTGACGGAGTAACATGATTTAAAACGAGGACTTTGGCCTTATCCAGAATATATATTCAAACACCGTACCCTGCTCTTGAAATTTAACCTTTTTCCTTTCATAAGGTGGAGACAACATGGGGCATCATTTGCATATGACAATTACTATACTTTTCGTTTAAGACGTTCAGTGATGATCATGATCTTTACAAATGAAATAATCGAGTAGGTGGATCTAGTTTAGGTCAGTTGCTTGAAAATTGAACTCTAAAGATGAAATTTTTGACTTTCAACAACACCTAGACAATAACAGGTTCTTCTTGACAATCTTAAGAAATTAAATCCGCAAAGCTGAGCTATTCCACTAAGGCAATTGGTTATAAAGGTAACTTGAAATCCCTGGCCTTATAAATAGGTTACGTTCAAACCATGACATTACTCGAACACTTGGCAATTCGGTGTTTGCTCCACTACTATTGTCCAGTCGAAGACTTTGTGATGAGATGAACCCTTTAGTGAACTTGATAAAACTGATTATAATGTTAAGTTGTCCCTCTAAAGCAATTGGTTAAACTCCCCGGCTTTATGGATTCAGCTAGCAAGATAACGGCAAATTAAATCAAATTTATCTAAGCAATAAATTTTCGGTAATAATGGGCTAAGGGAGTTAAGGAACACCTGTTATAGTCAACTACACACGAGCACTCAATAATTTCATTTTTAGACCGATATTTTTTTTTGCACTGCCTTTGTTAGAGGAGCCTACAAAGCTTGAACAAATGGAAGATTTCAGATGACCGAAATAAAAGGTCTAGTAATTTATCATGCTAGTTGCGTCATTTTGTCCGCACCCAATTGAAATGCCAAGGCATATTGCGATATTTAAAAAAATGACATTTTGGGTTACCGAAACTTTATAAAGGAGGTCAACCTAAAGCCAACTCATCTATTTGAACATTTGTCAAAGAGTTGTAAATCTGAAAGCATTAAAGGAGCTCTTGATTCCTTTGATATTCTTTGAACTCACATTTACAATTTGATTCAATTGCGAACAATATTTTTCAGCATTTTTATCATTTTCTCTCCTAAAACAAGAAAAATGAAAAACGTTTTCAAACGGAATGGTCTCAGATATGAAAGATCTATAAAGCCAAAGCTCGAGAAGCAAATAGGGCACAATCGATTCCAAGGACCAGACTGGCAGACAAAACACGAGACTCCATCCAAGAGATAACACATAATTCATTCATGTTGCATGCATCTTAGACATACTTAAGTGCATCACATTCATCATTTTGGCATAGATGATTTTTTGTATCTTTTAGAATCAAGTTTCAACTTCAGGATGAAGGATACTCTATTCACAAGCGCCTTTGAAGAACGATGGTGGTTGCTTAACTCAGCAGTGAGAAGCTACACCTCAACCGACTTGACATATCTACAGATCTCAGAACTAATTTCAGATAGGTTCGAGAACCAATTCAGACCAAATTCAGTTCAACTCAACTCAACAAAGAGCAACATCTTTCCAGTTAACACTTTCAAGCCAAATTTCAATTCCATGACGGAAGATATCCGGCTGACAGAATTCATTAGCGGGCTTTCCCGTAAAAGGGGAGTCATTCAAAGATCGTCTCATTTGGTTCAGACTCGCTCAAAGGAACCACCTAAAGAACTATGACTGGCTTAGACCCATGGAGAGAAGCCATTTTTTTATACAAACTAGACAGTGGTAAGCACTTCCCTAGGCCTGTAAATGAACTGAACGTTAAGTAAACCATTCATAAACAATGAGGTGGAAAATTCGTTTATATTCGTTTATTTATTAAAAGAACGAACATGAACAAGATTTTAAATTTGTTTAATTAAATGAACGAACACGAACAAAAGGCTCGTTCGTTCATTTACTTCCGTGAACGTTCGATTATATGTTCATTTATGTTTGAATAGAGGGCAAATTGAATATGTTACGAAGATTATTGAAGTTGTTTGGATTTCAAGAAGATTATTTTGTTGAACAAATTAACTTTAAGACTTTACTATGTTTATATAGCTTATTTATGATTTATGTATGTTTTTGTCGTATTCGAACAAATTAACTCTAAAATTACAGGTTATATTAATGAATTTTAAGTTGTTATTCTTATTGTTTATCTTTTTTACATTCATTTGTTGTGTTCGAATAAGTTTATTTTTTGTGTTTGTGTTATTCGTTTATGTTCGTTTATTGTATTCGTTTATGTTCATTTATTATGTTCATTTATTATGTTCGTTCATTTGTATTCGTTTATGAATAAATTATATTACTTAACGAACGAGCATGAACAAAAAATTTTATTCATTTATATTCGTATTCGTTTATGTTCATTTAATTATTAAGTGAACGAATGTGAACAATGCTCCTTTCATTAGCGTTTGGATCGTTTACAGGTCTACACTTCCCAGCTTGACTGTGAGGTGATTCGATTTCGATCCAGTAGTAGCGCTGAGAGAAAAAGATGGAATCAAGTGAAGACGACGGCGAAGAGCCACTTAGCCGGATAGCGGAGTGGCGTGATGTGACGCCTCTTCCTCAAGACGACGGTCCCAACCCTGTCGTCCCCATTGCTTACAAAGAAAAATTCCGCGAAACCATCCTTCAAAAAAAAAAAAAAGAATTCCGTAAAACCATGAATTACTTCCGCACCATTTACAAGGCCGACGAACGCTCCCCTCGTTCTCTCCGCCTCACTCGACGAGTCATTCATCTTAATCCTGGCAATTACACTGTAAATTTTTATATACGTGTTTGTAGTTTGTCGGTTTAATGGCCTCCTTTTCGACGCTCAAAATCTGTAAATCTTTGTTGTTTGTTGTGTTGATGAAGGTTTGGCATTTTAGACGATTCTTGCTCGAAGCACTTAATTCCGATCTGGACGATGAATTGGATTTTGTTCAACGGATTGCTAATTCTAATTCTAAGAACTATCAATTATGGTGAGTTGTATCTTTCAATTTATTTTCCTAGTCATGTTTGGTTATTCATACATGAGGAAAAATGTTTTATCTTGAAATTAATTCAGGGACTCTATTCATTTTGGGTTAATCCTCTGCTGAACCTGGAGATATATCGATTTGTCGGTTTTTTATAAGGGTGTCAAACTCGAGTATGCTTGAGTTTTAAAAGTTTTCTCAGGTATTAAAGTTCATGTTCCAGGACCTATGTCGTGATATATGTCAAACTCAGAGTGTCAAAGTAGTATTTGGAAAATGAAAAGTCCTGGAAAATGACTTGCTGTAAATTTTTATTTCAACTGATCTGTAATGGTTTTCTTTATTCCAAGCATGACTTTGATGTTTGCAGTGATATCCGAGTTTCATTCTTAGCTTTGCTACCGTGGATGTTATGTTTAATGGAAATAGTCATTGAATCTTGATAAAAATGCAAGTTTATAAAGAATGCATTCTCTAATCATTTTGGTGCAAGTTGTTCATTTGATTTGTGACACTCGTGATGGGATCATTACTTCAAAATCTAATATGTCAAACTATGGCTTGTTAATAAATTTTAGATTGCAAATGAATTTTTATTATCCATTCATGATTTTAATGTTTGAGATGATATGCTATGAGTTTCACAATCCATAGCTCCGCAAACATGCATGTTATTTGCTAATTGTGTGCCTAATTTATTACGGAAATGGTTATTGAATATTGACCAAATGCTAGGGTTGACCAATTTTCCTCAGCTATAGTTTGAATTTGTAGTGAGACTATAAATTTTGAAGTCTATAGACCACAGTCCTGTGTTTTTCCTGAAGTACTTGTGTCTGACGCTGGTGTTCAATACATGCTCAGACAGGGTATAGGGATATGATCCTGTAAGGGACTTCCAAATACATGAAAATCTTGAAAGACACATAACATGTCCAACACTTACACTAGAGTCCGAGTAACATCGCTTCAGTAAATCTGATTCATTTCATGTTCTATGATCTTGTTATTCTCCTTCTAGTATCCATTACATGGTTATTTTTCTGTGAAAATCTTTAGGCACCATCGGCGGTGGGTTGTCGAGAGATTGGGAACTAATGCTAGAGCCAAGGAACTTCATCTCATTAAGAGTATACTATCACTTGATGCGAAAAATTATTATGCCCGGTCACATAGGCAGGTTGGTTAAACATCTATTGTAGATTATTATGATAAGAATCTTTTGAAGACTCTCGACTAAAATATTAACAAATCCCTTGACCCACTGCATTTTTTAAACAAGCCCCTGTACTTTTATTGTATTCAAATAAGCTCTTATCCTGTTATTTGTATATAAATAAGCTTAATTCCAAAGGAAAGGTTGTTTATGTTAAAGATTAGGGGCTTATTTGAATAAAAACAAAAGTTAATGATTAAGGCTTATATTAGAACAATTAAAATTAAAAGTCAGGGGTTTATTTGGCATAATAGAAGTATAAGAGCTTATCTAAATAAAATGGTAAAGTTCAGGGACCTTTTGATTGTTCTAGTCAAACCTGTTTTATTTCTTGACCTTTATTCGTTTTAAGGTTTTTGTAATTTATTTGAGAATTGAGGTTAAACTGTAGGCTTTTTTGTTTTCGAGTGTAGTGGGTGCTTCAGGCGGTAGGAGGCTGGGAAGATGAACTTGATTATTGTCGGCAACTTCTTGAAGAATATATCTTTAATAATTCTGCTTGGAATCAGGTATGGTTCATTGTTCTGCTCTATGTTACCCAGACTTGGGGGTTTGTGTTTGATATGGGTATTTGTCCGACTTGACTATGCTCAAAGTTAGCTAAGTTTTCCGATACATTTGGAGAATCGTTCCTTCATTCTCCTGTTAGAATACGTGTTGGACATTGATATTTTAGTGAAAATGAAGAATTTGGGCTACGTGTATCCCAACAATGCATATTTAGGCACTTTAATGGGTGGGGTTTTGCTCGGTCCGACTTTAACCCAAGTTTTGTGTATACATTCTCAAACCCGTCTCGAATTGGATTTATTCGACACTTTAACCCCCAAACTTGACCATCTCACTCCAAAATTTTACATAAAACTTTATGTTATATCTTTTATGCCCTACACCAAACCTGATTTTCGAAAAGGAACTGCTCCTATAGGTAAAACCTGATTGGTATGGTTTATTTTGCCAACCCAATATTTGGTGTCACTGAAATGCAGGATTATCTGTCATGATTCTCATTAGTTCCATCAATTACTTCATACCATAACTGATATTTTCTGTTCCCAATATGATAATATCAATTTACATTTATTCATTTGTTTCTTAATTTGCAACAGAGATATTTTGTTGAAACAAGATCTCCTTTCTTGGGAGGCCTGACAGCCATGAGAGCATCTGAAGTGAGATACTCTGTGGAAGCTATTTTGTCCATCCCAAACAACGAGTGTCCATGGAGATACCTCCTTGGTCTTTACAAAGACGACATTGAATCTTTGGTTAATAATCGGGAGGTCTCATCAGAATGTTTGAAGGTAATAAACACGAAAAACGAATACATTCTCGCGCTGAAAATGCTTCTCGATCTTCTTTGTTACGGCTTCCAGCCATGCCAAGAGTTTGGAGATGCTGTAGTTGCTCCTTGGACTTCGGACGCTCACCCATTAGATCCTGATTTGGCAACAACAATTTGTGACATCTTGGAACACGTGGACTCCTTGAGAGCAAGCTATTGGATATGGCGCAAAAACAAGCTTCCTGTGTGTTGATAGTAGAAATAAGGTGACTAGGTGAACAATGTTTGAACCATCCTTGCTAAAGTGCAAAAGTTCTGTGTGTTGCTAGTTTATGCATGGAATAGAGAACCGGATCAGTACTGTTGGTTGAATAGAACCACTCGCCTATTTGGTTTGGTTAGAATGTTAAATCCGATCGTTAGTCAAACTGGTACAAAACCAGATCGCACTTGTAAAAATATTATTTTGTATATGTTTTAAATTTTTATTTTGGTATAATAACAAAATTAACCCCCAACATTTGTCCAAATGACTATCTTGGTTATTATCCTTTTTTGGAGCATTTTAGCATGTAATGTTTTATTTTTTCAGTCAATGTATGTTATTGATATAATATTTTTACATGAGAATGTGTAAACTACCATTTAGTTATTATTTATTATTTTGTTTTTATTTTGGTCATCTAATTATTATTTAAAAAAAATCATACTCAATCAATAATTTTATGTATTATTTTTGTTTTTATCAATTTCTGTTAAAAATTAATGATAATGTTAATATTTTTTTATTTTTTTATTTTCACTTATTATTATTTTATTACTTTTATTTAATTTAATTTTAGTTTCTAACCATCTTCTTCTTGTCACCACATTATTGGTTCAATAAAATTAAAGTATAAAAAAATAATTACATAGAAATTATAAAAGTTAAAAAATGTATCGTACAACTAGGGATGAATATAGGTCGGGTCAGTTAGATTTTTGGTCACCCGACCCGAAAATTATACATCATCCACCTGAATCCGATCCGACCCAAAAATATACACACTCCATCCGATCTGAACTTGACCCGATTTTTTGAGATAAAATCTGAATCAGACCCGAAATAATATATTTATTAAAAAATATTATTTTATTCAATAAAAATATGGATTTAATCGAATATATATATATATATATATAAATGGGCATTATTGTAATTACCCCTAAATATAAAGGTAAAATTATATGTTTTTTCAGGTCGAATATTTTTCACCCTAAACCAGATGTTGACTCTACCCGACCTTAATTTTTATTTAAAAAATCCGACCCGATCGAGTTGAGTCGAGTCGAAACCCATTAAATTCGAGTCTCGTGCCCATCTCCTACGTACAACAAATGATCAAAACAAAAATAAAATATTATATTATATTATATTATATATTTTTAAAAAATAATAATTAGGTAACTAAAATAAAAAATAAACTAACTGGTGGATAATTAACTAAATATAGCAGTTTACTCATTAGAGTTAGAATTTAGATGCTGTGTTTACCGTTTACAAAGGGGAATGTCGTCCTCATAGTATTATAATTGACTTTTCTCTTTGTTTGCTTCCATTTTCAATTTTATTTTATTTCCTCAGTCTACAAACACTCATTGAAAAACCCTGCCAATTTCTCCCCTAAACTCTATTTTCTTTCCATTTTAAACAAAAACTTCTCACAAATGTGGTGAGTTTGCAGTGAAACAAGTAACTTAAACCAACACCCGTGATGGATCGTCTCAATGGTCCTCCCCATCTCATGATAGTTTCAGATCTTGATTTCACTATGGTATTCCCAAAAAAGATACCCCGTTTCATAATTTGTAAGAATAATTGAATTTTAAGTGATTTTCCTTGTTCTTTGTTTAATTTCCAGGTCGATCATGAAGACCCGGAAAACTTATCCCTTCTTCGATTCAATTCCCTTTGGGAAGCCTATTACCGCCAGGTTTCTTTGCTGGTGTATTCCACTGGAAGGTCCCCGACTATCTATAAACAGCTGAGGAAGGTGAAGCCCCTTTTGACCCCGGATATAACGATAATGTCAGTGGGCACTGAGATTGCTTATGGTGAATCGATGGTGTCTGATTCTGATTGGGAACACTGTTTGAATCTCAATTGGAACAGAGATATTGTTTTTCAGGAAACTGCAAAGTTTTCCCTGCTTATTCCTCAGGTATGTTTATTATATTCTTCTTTGTTTCTTTAATTTCTCAGGAAAAAAGCCAATTTGGCTTTTGTTTCTACTTTAGCTAAGGATAATTAGTTGTTCCACATTATTTGGACTCGAATGTGAGAATGGGTTTGGGCATGAGCATGATAAGCCTTTTCATGTAGAAATTTCGAATTCGTATCTTTGTACTTCATATTCATGCGCCAAATATCATAAGTTTTTGATATAATTATGCATTGCTGTTTTAATATATCTTCAACCTGCAGATTTTATTTACATTTGGGTCTACCTGGAAGTCTATTAACCATTGGCATCGCTTGCATATTGGCGTGTAGCCATGTAGGGCATAAATGAGAACCTTGGTTCATAACCTATTCATGTTTATCAATTAATTAATACTCTTTAAATTAATAAAATTACGTGGTTCCGAAATTATTAATTTATAGAGGATTTACTGTATTTTGTATATAATACTTCAAGAAAAATGAAAGAGTTAGAACAATATAATTGTAGAAATTTAGTTATAGTTAATCAAGTTTAGCTGGAAATTTTATATTGCTTATACTCTATATTTTTAAAGTTCTCGTGTCCAATACATATGTGGACATAATATATGGAGAAACTTTAGAAAAAGAGTTATATCTGTATCGAATACATTTATGATATTCATAACTGAGTTTGAGTAATGTAGAGGTAAATAACAATCATTATGATGGCTAAGAATTTCATGTTTCCTTTTCAGCCAGATACCGAGCAACGACCTCACAAGGTTAGCTTTTTCTTGGAGAAGCCTAATTCATCAGAAGTAATCAAGGCGCTTTCAGAACGTCTAGAAAAACTTAAGGTGAGATTGTATATTTCCTTTTAATGAAGGATTCTTTAACATGAGATAATAAATCTTTCAGGAGAATGCTTGTTCTTAATATAATTGTTTTATTATGTTATTAGAATTCGGACATGAGTGTAGGATTTTAACATGTGTTTTCATATATTTAGACAATTCTTGAAGGCTCATATATGGACCTTCCACGGTTGGGTTATCTGTCCCATCCAATATGGTCCGAATTTAAATTAAATAATAATGGCTTTGAAGATTTTTCAGGCAGTAGCCTATCCCAGCCCATGAACACTTTTACCCTACTATACTCTACTTTTTTTGGCGTATCCGATACTCATGTCCAACACATCAATATGACGATATATCCTCCAAGGACTCGTATCCGTATTGGACAGACACCTGAGTTCAAGTAACACAGTCCTTACATCCATCCATGTGTTGACTATGTCAACAACAAATATTTTAAGAACAATAAAGAATCTGGACACCATGATTTTCTCATAAATGGTTTTGGATCTTAATTTCTTCTTTTTGCAGCTAGATGTTAAAATAATATATAGCAATGGGACAGCTTTGGATGTATTACCAAAAGGTGCTGGTAAAGGACAAGCGCTTGCATATTTGCTGAGAAAGTTTAAAGCTAAAGGAAGAATTCCACTTAATTCCCTTGTTTGTGGCGACTCTGGAAATGATGCTGAATTATTTACCATTCCTGAAGTATATGGTGTGATGGTATGCTATAGCTCAGGGAAAAAACCCTCAAGAAAATGGAAACCACAAATTTCTTTCAAAACCAGATTGAACTGATCACCACTTAGCAGCTTTCAACCTATTTTTGTTTCTACTTTTCAGGTTAGCAATGCACAAGAAGAATTATTACAGTGGCATGCTGAAAATGCAAAAATCAATCCCAATATATTCCATTCAAGCGAGAGATGTGCATCCGGAATAATACAAGCCATTGGAAAATTCACTCTGGGTCCAAATGTGTCTCCCAGAGATATCTCAGACTTTGGAAAATGCAGAGTAAATTTTTTCAGCCCTGGTTACGAAGTTGTGAAGTTCTATTTGTTTTATGAGCGATGGCGACGTGCTGAAGTCGAGAAGTCTGACCAGATTTTGCAGAATCTTAAATCAAGCTTTGTATGTCTCCTTTCTCTTCCCTTTCAGTGTTTTAATATTTGTTTTCGCAATGAATTGGGATAGTAATGGATAGTATCAATTTAAATATTTATCAATATCTTATTAATTTTTCTATGGATTTTGAATAATATTTGGGTTCAGGTTTTTTAATATTCGAAGCAGATGCAGATATTAACTAGAATTCATTTTAGTTTTCTTGATAATGGATTCAGATATTATTTGTGGTACATTTTTAATTTGTTCTTACTCATTAATTCAAATATTTAGCTAATTCTGATATCTAGCATATTGATGTTATTTGAGTTTAGCTAGTAACACTCGGATTTAGTGCGATTAATAAAATGGATTTGAATTTTAAAACAATTACGCTGGATACAAATCCTTCAAGAAATATATATATTGGACCTGTTACCATCTCTAGCAATGAATTGCATTAACCTGAAAATCTCTGCCTGGATATCTCTGTTTATAGATATGTTTTTGTCTAGCCATGGTACTTGGATGTGAGTTTCCATCATGGGTACATGTTCTATATGAGCATATTAAATTCTTTCACCCAAGTTTTTATATATTTGGAGATTTCTCAGAGGATATCATCTTGTACCAAGCTGCTTGTGTTCAATCTGAGAGAAAAGATCAAACTGTTCAATCTTGCTTGATTAGACTCATTTTATTTGGTAAAACAATTATCTCAACTCTCATGCTTGATTATTTGTGCTTGAACTTGATTTGTAGTTTCAATACTAATATATATATTATATATATATATATGTATGTATATATATATTAAAAGCAAGAAAGTTCAATTTGACTCATGAGCTACTCGAACTCAGCTCGCTCAAGCTCAACTTGAAAATGATCGAACTGAATTAGAAATTATTTTTAACTGAATTCAAATAATTTGTGATCACATGTGTCTCATTTATGTTTGTTGAATTGCTGAGAATTGATTTGATCAAGTCTTCCCTCTCTAGTATCCATTAGGTACTTTTGTCCATCCTTGTGGGACTGAGCAACCAATGAACAAGTGCACAGATACAATTGAAAGATTATATGGGGATAAACGAGGAAAACAATATCAAATTTGGTTGGATCGCGTTTTAACATCACAGGTTGGATCAGATGTATGGCTAGTGAAGTTTGATAAATGGGAGTCAACTGGTAAGATTTGTTTGATCTTAGTCTTTATAATCTCACAATCTTATTCCCTATCAACCAAATAGGCATTTAACCAATGTAAGTTTATCTTAGCTTTTTTTGCTTTGTAATTTGAATATGGATGTGAATGTCTTTGAAGGTTCATATCCCACTCTCATATCCAAATATGTATCAGATATGAACGTCAGGTATAGATTCTTTTAGAAATATCAAGAATCGGAGTACCAAAAGCAAAGTGCCCTTATTTTTCTGTTTGTGATGCTTTATAACTTGTAAAACAACAAGTTGCTCAACATTTTGATTTGGAGGTTGCGTGTAAGCAGAGCCCTCGGGAAATAGTTCACATATTTATGAAAACTGTTAGTAGGCCAACATCTTACCTTTCAGTTCATTATATGTATATCCTTTCCTTTTCCACACAATGGAGGCTGTGACTGAGAATAGGTGGAGTTACAAATGGTTGTGGTCGGGACGATAGACTTGTATCGATTCATTATGTGTATCATGTTCTTTGGGTACAATAGAGGCCCCAACTGAGGATAGGGAAAGGAATCATATATGTTGTGATCTGAACTCTAGACTTGTTAAAATGTCTTCTACTAAAAATGACTGCACGAATTAGCCGAGTTAAGCTCTGGATTCTCTGTGTATTCTTTTTTATAAATTCATTAATCATTTCCTTCTTTTTTCTGAAACATTATAGTTTCTTATAAACTATTTCTTAATCATACTTCCAGGTGAGGAAAGATATTGCTGTCTTACAACAGTCTTACTGACTACAAAGGTATCCCCTCTCCCCTTCTATAACTTATTCATTTCGGGTTATTTTTTTAGTAGTCTGTTACTTGGATTCGGATGTGAGAGTTGGATATAGATTTATACTCGGGTTTTTATACCCACGTCCAGATTTGTGTACTAGAGACAGATATTAGATACAAATACTTCAAGAAAGACAGCAAAATATTAATAGGTATGGGTTTGATAACCAATATTCTTCGTCCTGGGTTTCAGCAAGCTGAAGAATCCTTCACATGGATGCACATACATCAGACATGGTTGGATGGCTTGGAAGCAAAAGACCAATCCGTTTGGTTTCTCTAGCCTGCAACCTGCCCATGTAATTTACTTTCTTGTCTTGGGACTGAAAAGTGAAGTAGAAAAATGATTTCGAAAAATACGTATAAATTATTTAGTTTAAGTTCTATGTTTTTAACATTATTGTAAAAAATTGACTTTTAATAGTTAAAATGGCGTGATTGTATAGATAATGGTTGTCGATGTGGTGTTACATCGAAATGATGTCATTTGGGTTGACATTTTTTTTTATTAAATTGGAGTAAGTATAAGGTAATATTTATTTAAAGATAACTCTCAACATCTCGACATTGAACGTTCACACCCCTAGTATCTATGATCCTTGAACTTAGATCCTTAAGGAATAATAACAATAATTCATTTACTACGAAAATTATTTGATTCACGTGGGTCGTATTATTTTAATGTCCAAAACAACAACATTTTATTAGTTGTATTTTTTTCTTCAAATTTGAACCAATGGAGTTGTTATCATCCCAACTTGGGAATCCTTGATAACTCTCTCCTAAGTTTCCCAACATTTAGCAAAAAACTTGTTAATTTCTGAAATCATCTAAGAAATAAAAGACAAAATTGCAAGAAATAAGTGTGCGAAAAAGTAGGTTGCAAGTAATTTATATAAATAAAAATTGCAACATAAAGGGGATTCAGTACGTTGGTTGATAAAAAGTTGAAAACAGCAATGGTTTCCACAATTGAGAATGGCTGAGACTGCTACTACCATCACATTTGGCATTGCTTTGAGATCATAAAATGTTGAGCAATGCCTAAACCAATCCGGCCTCGGGTCCAAGCGAATCCTACCACCTCGGCTACGGTGTTTTCAAAATCGAACTTTCACTAATTTAGCTATTTCCCTGCAAAAATTTTCGAGCAAATTCATTGATAACTCGAATGAATATAAAGCTTTAAAAAGCGAAATACGTTCAAAAGCACGGTATATTACCTGTGAAATAGAAACTCAAAGTTATGGTTATCGTAAGGAAAAACCAGCATGGCCTTATGGAAGCTACAGATGATGTTGACCTGCAGATAACACCGTCAATTAAGGCAGAGCGTTCGATCGAGTCGAGTAAAAAAGGTTCGAGATATTTGAGTTGACCAATTTTATTTTATAATTCGAAGTGAACTTGAATTTTTTTCGAGTCAAATCGAGTTTACAGAATTCGAGTCGAGTCGACTTGGATTTTTGAGTTTCTGTTTAAATTTAATTACAAATATTTATAATATTATGATATTGTTTAATTCCAATTTAAATGATTTTTTTATAACCTTATACAATACATATATATTTATTCATATTTTTCTCATATGTGATATACATATATTATACAGAGTCGAGAGACTCGACTCAAACTTAAAAATCAGTCCACTAATTACTAAAAATTTTGAGTTATTCGAGCTATATTTTACAACTCGATTTGAACTTGAAATTTTTTCAAGTCAAGTCAAGTTTATGAAATTACAACTCAAAGTCAATTCGAGTCGAATCGAAAAAATCGATTTTTCTAATCGAGTTGAATTTTTCTCACCCCTACTATCAACCATGTAAGAAAGGAACATACATGCAATTAATCAGATAATTAGTTCCCGCCAGTTGTTTTTGTTTTTATTGACTCAAATTTAAGTAATGATTCGGATTAGCTACAAACATAAGTTGTTTTTAGGAGTGCTACGCCAGTTTATTGAACCCTGCATGCTAACACAGGACATACTGCATAGGGGCCGATAAGGCCAACCGAGACATTTCAGTCACTGGAAGGAAGTTTTCATATGCATGCATGAATAGTTTTCAAAATAAGTAACGGAGAATACCTTGCCACAATGCTCGCGCCCGTATCGGTTTTAAGTCCGAATCCAAAGGGGAAGAGTGGATCATAGTGTGAATCCCCAACATTCATCGGCAATTGATCAACATTTTTGAACCATGTTCTCGGAAGCTTTCCGCTGAATCCATAGTCCCCATAAAGGACATCAGTCACACCTAGGCCTTCAGTTCCAGGTAACCACGATGCCACTAGAGAATCAATAGCAGAGACATATGGTTCAATCACGATGGGTCTGCCTGAAATCAAAACAACCACACACTTGACATTTCCGCAGACATCGTTAATGATGCTTGGACCTGGGTCTATCATCGTAAGGTTTGTGCTATCGCCTGCGGTCTCGGCATAAGGGGGCTCACCAACAACAACGATTGCATAATCAAAATTGTTTGATTTCACAAAGTTGGCATCAGGGCTTTCACGGTAAACAACTTCGGTACTATGATCAACAGTATATTTTACGGCACCAAGGATTGTTGTTCCTAGTCATGGAAAAAAATATTAGTAAATTTATTGCAAATGAAAACTTGTAAGCTGATTATCCAGGAAAAAAAGGCCAGTCTTTCGAAAGATTATTAAGTAAAGCATACCCCTTGTAGCGTTATTGTCATTAAATCCTTGCCAATTGATTGTCCATCCACCACATTGATAACCCAAATTATCAGCATGGGTACCAGCAACTAGGATCTTTGAAGCTTTCTTCGGCAGGGGCAGTAACGGAGTACTTCCGGCTTTCCCATTCTTCAGCAATACAAGCGATTTTCTCACAGCTTCCCTTGCCAACTCTCGATGTGCCTAGTTAGTAATGCGATATCAAATCATTTATAGAATACGACTTTTACAAAGAGCATTTGGATGATGATTCGTAGCAAATTACTTGATATATAGAAAATCAGAAAGACAACAAATAATTTTACGGAAAACACGGTAATGGATATTAATGTTCAGATCTATACATCCAAAGTCAACTGGAAAGATGAAAATAATCTTGCATGTTATGATATGCTTAACTAACCAACCTGGCTTCCGAGCTCAGGAACTAGACTAAAATCAGCCATAGGGTTTTCAAAGAGTCCCATTGTGAATTTGATTAGCAAAATTCTTTGCACCGCATCGTCAATACGATCCATTGGAATAGCTTTACTATTCACTAGATCAGTTAGATCACCTACGAACTCAGTAAGGTTGTAGGGGACCATGACCTGCAGAACACAAATCATGAGACTCCAAGTCTTAGAATGCATTCATACTGCCAAGATTCGAGTTTACACTAAATTAGTAGTGCAAGAAAGCAGTTATCTTCGATTTTATCTGAAAAAGGTTTATACAGAAGCTACTAACCATGTCAATGCCAGCTTGAATCGCTGCTTGAACGGAGTACGTATAGTTCGAATGCGGTGGTGTGGTGATCCTGTCTATTCCCTGCCAATCTGATATTACAAAACCCTGAAAATCCATCGAAACAACACTTGTTAACAGGAACATATCAAGTATAGCTATAGGTGAGTACTACTAATGGAAACAAATGCAATCATAGCACAATGTCAGCATTTCTTTGTTTAGGGTAATATGTATATATCGATGCATATGAGGAATGAATGTTTACATTTTGAAGCGATGAAAATGACATGCAATGTGATAAGCTGTTAGAAAAGCTCTTTGAAAACATCATAAACACTCATGTCAAGGATTTGATAGATTATTTGAGTATTTATAGTTATATCAAGGACCAAACAGAGAACAGAGTCCTATATCATAAAAAAAATCATAGGATTTTAATTATGTTTTAAATTTGCAAATATTTGTTACCGATTAAGAGCTGTAACAAGGTTCAACCTTAAACTTAAGAGTATTCTTGAGGAAACCAGAAATTAGCTCACGGTTTGCATGCATCTTTTGCCCATTCCAGCTAGAGTAGGAAACCATAACCGACGAAACGCCCTTAATAATAGATTGAGCATAGGCAGGCATGTACATGCTAAGCAACCCATGCATGTCAATCACAGTGTTGTTTTCGTTGATGCCCTGTCTTGTCCCACCATCGCCTATAAAGTGCTTAGCACAAGCCACAACCTTGTCCCTGACAGAACCAAAGAACAGAATAAAGAGGGAAAACAAGATGGGATACTGCATATTTATATACACAGCATATAATATCGAGACATCATTAGTGATGCTGTACCAAACATACGCTGCAAATCGTGTACTATTAGGGAATAACAAGAAGACTACATAAACCATGATAGTCATGGAGCATCCAAGACGAATGAAAAGGGAAAGTAAAGCATGACTGAATATATGTACTTGTCTAGATCACTTGATTTGAATTGTAATAGTATGACAAGGAGCGTGAGGGAAAATGAAAAAATCCATGGAATTAAAAAAAGACACTTAGAAGAATGGCTTCTCTATGTTGGCACCATTAACAACAGAATTCTAAAGAGTATATACAGTTATACAGCAAGAAGTATGTTAACTTGATCATGTTTCATACTTTCCACCGACATAGGGAACCCCCTTGCGCGAACTGGAAGGAAGATCTCCTTGCAACCCAAGTATGATCTCTGTCATCTGTTCCACAACTTTATGATCCTCACTGTAGCTTTCATAACACCGACCCCACCTTGGATCTCTACATACCTATAAAGAAAATGTCAAGAAAAAAGGTTGTATTCCTATGTGGTGAGTTCAAATGCAGAAAGCATCCTAAAAGTATAAGAAATTACTGGATGCAACTGTCTGATCTTATAAAAAGAACATGAATTACCGCAATGCATGGAGCAAAGACATAAGGAATCCCTGTAGCTCTCACTTCAAGAGCAGTTGCAGCACCAATCTTCTTCACCAGCTCAGGATCTCTGCATATCCGTAGTTTTTATAAGATGTTGATAGTTCGTTCCAATGGAGTTTACTTTTGAACTGGAGAGAAACAAAAGCTCAACTCTATCCTTCCTTTCAGGAAAATAATGGGTTTCTCTAATGAAGATATAAAATGATCATTTCATCGAATTGAGACTGTTACTTATGTTGTCCTTTTTATTGCTTCTGTTGGAAACACCAATTCTAAGCTTTCAACTAAAGAATGGAAGGGTAAATAATGCTAAAAGCACAACAAGGTAATGATTCTATGACAAATATCAGCAGAAACCAAATCAAAAGCTATGCTTGCCTGGTTGCTCCGAGCCCCACATTATGTGGAAATATTGTAGCATTATAGACATTGTTGTGTCCATGAACAGCATCAATGCCATAAATCATCGGAATTCCTAAACGACTAGACAGAGATCCATTCTGAAAAGCATTAACCATATTGATCCAGTCCTGGGCACTAGCCTTCGGAAGCGGTTCACTCCCACCACCACTTAACACACTCCCTGTGCAAGAAAAAGAAAATGCTGTCAATTACCGACAGTTAACCTGTGATATCCGGGCTTGCAGTTGAGTTCCAGATACGTATGCTCTATTTGTTCTAAGATATTTCTGCATATATTTGGAGAATCATATCCTATACTCATATCCAAATATGTCTAACATTGTTACTTCAAATAGAATGCAAACTCCTAATCACATTGTCTCTAATTTCTCTACTTGTACGCATGCAATGGCCATGCTATATATTATATATATTTGGAGGACCATACCCATATTCGAATATCAAACACTTGTATTTTAGATCAAAATGAAGAGTAAAGATAATATAGGCCACAACATTTAGAAAAAGAAAAAGGAACAAAAAAGGCATCCAGTAATGAATGATTATATAACTGTGTAAGTTTTACAAAAAAACAATAAAAGTATGATTATATAATACAAAATGTATGTTACTTTCTATACGTGGCAAAATAATATTGACACAAATGTATTTAAGGTAACTGTGAAAAAGTTGTGGCCAACCCCATCAACAAACAATAACCAAAGCTCACAAAAAAGTGGTAAAAATCATTGCCAGACACAGCAATCAGAACTATAACAAAGGATAAAAAACTATGAAAATGAAGGCGAAAACTATTACCAATGGAGTAATCTCTCATTATCTGTTCAGTAGCAACACTTCGATCAATCTGGGTCATTTGACCAATCTTCTCAGCTAATGTCATTCTGGACATCAGATCCTTAACTCTAACAGCTACTGGTTGCTTGGGATCTTTGTACGTGATAGTCTCGGCTCCCACCACCATTGCTAACCATAGAAACCCCACCGCCACCAGATTCACAAAACTCATCCCCATCTAAAAAAAGGAACAAAAATCCCAGTATTTCAGAGACGATGAACTTTATAAGCTATTGAAGTTTTGTCGGAATCCAAACAAGACTGATGAGAGACAAGCAACGTTGTTAGCAGCTACAGAAACCAAGAACACAACAGCTCCTACTACATTGGCTTTAAAAAAGGGAGGAAAAAGAAAGGGAAATCTTACATATGAAAGCAAAATAATGATACCCTTTTAAGCAGAGAGCACCAGAGAGTAATGTATCAGTGAAAGCGCTTTAATTTATGCTTTTGGAAAATGAGAAATTGCAGTAAAGTTTTGATCTTGGTTTTTGGCTTTTCTTTTATTTGAGAGAGAATAAATAAATTATTAAAAGAGATTGGGGACGGTTTCTTTTGTGTTTTTCCTGAAATATATTGAAATAAAAATTTATTTTATTATTGATTACTATTTCATTCACCACTGGTGGATAAAAACATGGAATGGAAATCGGATCGGTTGAATAGAAAATTTGATACCTCTTTGAATCTATTATAATTTAGTGTATAATTTTTTTATTAATAATTCTCAGCTATTTAATATTAAAAACTCGCACCTCTGATATTTACAGTACTTTAATTCGAAATCAATAATTTCTTTAATTATAAATATGATAATAATCAACCAAATTAATAAAATTATATAATAATAAATTTTAAATTATAATAATCAAATAAAAGTAGGCGTAGTTAATCTTTTTAAGAAAAACTACTTCATTTTAAAATACAATAAAGTTTCAAAAAGAAAGCTTTTTTACTTATGAATGTGATAATTTTTACTAGTATTTGTTATTTATTTATTTTAAGATTTATTTAAATAAAGAGTTTTTAAATTATTATTTTATTTTTAAGAGAACGTGGGGAGTGAATTGGTGGGGTTTAAAACAGTTTAGAAAGTCGTTGAAAAGTGGGGGGTTTCACCACCTTTCTTCAAATCTTGGCTCTACATTTAGTTCATCTAATCATCTTTTTTACTTTGTTTTTAACCGTTAAATTTGCCCATTTACTTTGAATTGCCAACTATTACTATTATCACTAGGAATTGGAGTTGGGGCCATACACACACTCACATGCATCTCTAATATTTAAAATTTTACCTCGATTGTCGTAGTAATTGAGGATTCAATAATTAAAATTTTAAGTTGAAAATTTGAGGATAAATTATAATGGGTTAAACTTATTTAGAATTAAGAGAATTTATCAATAAAAAAGAATTAAGAGAATTTGTGTATTTACATGTTTTTCTATTAACATATATATATATATATATATATATATGTTTTTCTATTAACATATTCATTTATATAAAATATATATTTATATAATTTGAACTTCTAAATTTTATGTTTGTTTATGTGAATCTTTTAATTTGTTTAGTTTAAAATATATATACAAATTAACCTCATATATCTTATGACTGGACCTAGTTATTTTGGATATTTAACATACAAGTATCCAATCTTTATGGATTGAGACAAAAAACCATTTTTTATTACTCAAAAAAAATTGAATACTCGTATTTTCGGTATTAAAAAATTGCAGGAAATCAGTTTTAATCACTCTTACAATCACCTCACCCATTATATATCATCAACAATTTTTTAGAAAAAATTAATCATGAAAACGAAGAAATGATTGTATCAAAAAATATTCTATATCAGTATACAATCTATATGAACCAAGTAACCTCATTATTAAATAAATTTTTATTATCATGAATGTAAAGAGTATGAACGTTTAATATTAAATGGTTAAGAGTTATTTTTGAACATTTATACTACCTCATACTCACCACATATTAATAAAAAATTATTCATTCCAATTATGATGTATAAATTTTCTTAAAAATGATTATTTAGTGTCTATTATAGGTAATTGTTAATGGGAAAACATTTATACCAATAAATTTATACTTTATTTCATTAATAGATTTAATTTCAATGAAATACATTCATTATATATCAATAAAATAAAATAAAGAATGAGAATATTAAAAAAAATGTATTAATCGCTGGTATACGTTATATTAACCGACTAATCCATATCAGATTTTGTAGATGCCTATTATGAGGATAACTCTTTTTACTCCACTTACGAATGTCATGATTCAGACCCCTGACCTTGTATAGAAAATTTGATAAAACATGAAAATAAAATACTATTGGTATGAAAATATAAATTTTAATCAATAAGAAAATACCAAAAAAAATACTAGAAGTATAATACCGAATTTATTTATGTTTATAATAAAATAAAATTTAGATTAAAGAAGCAAAAGGCAAAAATGAAGAAAAACATCCGCCGTTGCATATAAGCAAACTTCCAGAATCTAACCTGTTTTTTAGGAACACATGATCAAACAAGCTTTGTTGCGACGCCTGCAAATTATAATCGTCCATATCATATCTATTTCTTCGTATGATCTTCGAATCAATGTTGATCTTCCTGGTGTCTTTCTCGAAACCTTTGACATACTTTTTAATGTCTTGTTGGAGCTCGCATATCGGACGTGGCTCGGCAGAAAAGGAAAACCGGAATTTTCGACTCCATTCATTATCGGTACTGTTTGGATGGAAGAGGTATTGAGTTTGTTCCATGCTGCTGTTACTGGCTGTTAAATCCAAAGGATCATGGCCTAATGTGATTCGACATTCCTGCAAACAATATAGACAACAATGTATTTTTTTTAATTGCATTTTCTAAGTACAAAGCAGACCTCGACAATATTCGAGTTCTAGTAACATTGGTTTTCAGAAACATAAACCTCAAAATCACTTGATTTGCCGATCAGTTAACGCATCTGGATTTAAAAATAATGAAAGAATAACATAAAGAGAAATACTAAAATATGAAGAAAAAAACGAACCTGTGTATCATGGAGATAAATACTAGGTGGATTGGTGGCTGGAATGGTTGAATTTGCATGCGGAAAAGATACTCCATCTACATCGACGGTGCCCACACATTTGAGTGGCGGATCTTCGACTGATGAGAAGTCAGAGCCGTCAAATGTTGATAGCGAGACACACTCATCGAAAAAGGCAAGGGCATCGTCAGTCAGACATTTTGATATCTTCCTTCTCTCAATACTAGACTGTCATCATATTTAAGTAGAATTTATTTTAGAGAGCAAGCAAAGAAGCAAACTCAGAGACCAACAACTTATCTGCAAAATTTTCAATATAAGGATCAACGAAATCAACTACTTGCATGCATTCTCTTTTGCAAACACTGTCAGTTTAATTGTTCATTTTGTTTGAAGCAAACGTGCCGATAGATATTTGGATATGGAAGTGAAGATTTGATGCCTCCAAATACATGGGAAGTCTGGGAAAATTCAAACATAACCAGGGGCGTATATAGGCCTAGGCTATGCCCACCCCATACTAAAAAAATAAAATATAACTTTAATAAAAATATGGGTAAACTACCTATTTGGTCACACACCTATTATTTAGTTTTTGTTTTGGTCATCTAATTTTTCTAAATCATACATAATGTTACATTGTAGTTCTATTTTGGTCACCTGCTATTAAAAAATTAAAGGTGAAGCTGACGTGTCACCGTAAGATAATTCTATGTCAGCATTGAAAAATAATAAAAAATGTCACGTCAATATCACTATAAATTTTTTAACTGAGTGACCAAAACAGAACTAAAACATAACATTATGTATGATTTTGAAAAACCACAATAGTTGAGTGATCAAAATAGAAACTAAGTAATAGATGAGTGACCGAATAGGTAGTTTATCCTATATATATATATATATATATATATATATATATATATAAGTTGTATTAGAAAGTTATACATTGGTCCAATTGATAAAATTTTTAGATTCAGCCCAACTGATAAAAAAAATTGGATTCGCCAATTAACATAATTGTATCATAAACACTCATTCGATCCTTGCATCTAAGTCTGAGTAACAGAGAACATTAATGCTATGAATGGATTCATCAGTGAATATTTAGAATTAACACTAACAAAATAGGAAAACCCAAGTAAGAACTGTTACCTAAAATTTCTAAATGATGCAATATGCGTAAACTGCAATGGAAGTTACTCCGAGTGAAAATGAGATTTATACAAATGAGAATGCATAGTTATAGAACAGAATCAAATGAATTCTCTTGGACAAAGAACCCAGTAAAACTGCATGAAACATTATCTGAAATGACTATAAGAATCTGGAAAATAGTTTTCTTCCAGTAGGACTGGTCCAATCCACATCTGAACAATTATAGGCATGCACCAGCACATATAGTGGTTGATATGTAAAATGTAAAACTGTGTCGGACAATTTAGTCTCAACTATAAATGCTTACTTTTCTTCGTGGACGAGATTTCTTTGTGCTAGGAGCCTTAGCATCTGGAAGCACTTCCTTCAAGATCCTACTAAGCTCCATGCCCCGGTGTTCCTCTACAGCTAGGTCAGCTCGAAGTTGTCTGGCCCGTTCTTGGGACTGCAAATGTAAGGAAATACGAAAATATATTAGTTAAATATTGATTTAGCCACTGTAACATACACTAATTGGATTTGGTACCTAAAAGAACAAAATTGTGTACTTTATGTACTTGAACTTCCATTCTGTCAAGTAATTTGGCTCTGGGACTAAACATCAATAATAATTGATTGAGAAGGCAAAAACAATCAATCTAATCAGGACACATTGGCAAAAAATCATAGCCGTCAGCGAATTATCTTGTGGGTCCCTTGCCACAAAGGGAGAGGGAAGGAGGTGGAGGAAGAAGCAAAAGCCGTGGGCCTTTATGGCCAACCAAAGGCAGATGCACTGCTGATCTGCCTCAGACATCCAGACTGAGATGGACTGGCACAGTTTTAAAAAAAATAGAGGAAAAGGTGAGAATTTTCTATATAAAAAAAATCAACCACGTTGAAAATTGATACCTAATTGCAAATTTTTATTCTCTATATACCAATATGTTCAAAAATTTTCTTAACCTATGACAACCCGCACACACCCTACAGACGTAACTGCTCAAACTCGGAAGGAGAACAACATTCCCTTTTACCACGAGGGCATTCTCCATAGCATTCCTTAATATATACTGAGAGGGTAGAAAAGAATATAACAGAACAAAGATAAGAGAGTTTAAAAAACCACGGCATCACATACCGTAAAGCAATGTTAACTTATTCTTTTAGATAAGAACTAGGCATAAAGAAAATTACAAACGCCTTACAAACATGCCAGCACCCTTCCTCGCCTCTTGTATATCCGCTTCTCTTTAAATGCTACCTAATTGTATCTCATCACTCCTAATATAGCAACAATAAATGAGACTGGCCTACTTTGATTTTTTTTTAGATAAGAACTAGGTATAAAGAAAATTCCAAACGCCAAACAAACATGGCAGCACCCTTCCTCGCCTCTTGCATATCTATTTAACTCAAATATCACACGCTTCTCTCTAATGCTACTTTGATTTTTCATTTTTCTTTAAGTACTCATATTTGAAACCCTTGTCTAATGGGTTTCCAGATACAAATACGTGGATCTAACCCTCCAAGTACCGTATACTGAAAACTGAACAAACATGTGTCATATGCATGCTAATCCGACACTCGCACCAGAGTCTTGAGTAATATTGATTTGCAGCCTTTACCTCCCGAATATGTGTCTGTTTGTGGCATATAATGCTATAACGGATCTAAAGGAAAGATGATTGCAAAGAAGAAAACTACCTGCTCGAGTTTTGCGGCATATTCATGTTGTATGTCTGACACTAACTCGACCACATCAGTAGTTGGATTACTCCTCCTGATAGCCTGAAATCATAAGAATCAAGAACAAATCACTGACTGGAATACAGCTCGACCTATGTACTAGGTAAGCTTGAAGAACACAGTTAGAGAAGCTGTGACTGTGAGCAAAATTAGCTGATACCAAAATCAAGTATTTACTTTCTTTTCCAGACGATTTACAAACTATTTTACTCTAACCAAATATGAGTGTTGAATACAGCTATGTTTTCTTTGTATTAGGAGGGTCATAATTTACAAGAGCATGTGGAGAAAAGCGGCTCCAAAGACAAAGGCATCCTCGTGTTAATGACTTGAACTCATCTATTGACCCAAAGGAGAATTTTGAATCCAAGAAACCAAAATAACTTACACATTGAAGCTCATTTTGGATGTCGGAAATAGCCCGTCTCACTTCGGATTTAACAGTTCTGTATATGTCACTAGCAGCAGGAGCATCTCCCACCAAATTATCCCCTTCGAGTGACTTGAAAAATAAGGCAGGACAAAGAAAGTGTTTTAGCAGATTTTGACATGTAAACTAATAAACTGATCAGCTTTGACAATCAAATATTAAACACTTCTTAGTCTAGGATTCAAACACTTAGCTGGAGATATGGTAATAACAGTCCAGTTTTAGAAACAAATTACAGTTACCATTCAGTATTATGATATTCTTAAGAACTGAAAAGAAGATGAATCAAACGTCATAGGAAATCGGATTCTACAAATTTGGATCGATTTGGTCCAGGTTTTTAATTCCTCAGCAAAAAAACTGAATAAATGTTTTTATATACTATCCAGTGTCAGGACTAGAACGGAACAAAATTCAATTAAAACAGTACTGATTTTAATTTTTCTCACTTTCTTTTTCCCGGCCCTAGCAGTGATTAAAACTTCCACATACTACAAATTGATTCAAATTATCCAAAATCTCACCTCCACAAGTTCTGCTTCTGAAAAAGAAATCGTTGAGATCAAATCATTCCATTTTGCGGATTCTAATCGAGACTAAATAAAAAGAGAGGAAGAAAGGAATCATTATCACATCATTGCAAAGATAGATCCTTCCTTATTTGCCTTCAATATCAAACAAATCTTTCAAAAACATTTTATCCAGAAACAGAAAAAGGTCCACAGGATTAGTACCAAACTTGTAGGAGAATCCAAAGGATCAATATGCTTCGGCTGGCCTGACTGTGACAAACTAGACGTGCTTTGAACTAAATTACCCTTTCGACCATTCCCCAATGTGGCAATTAAATTACCTTTATTCTTGGATTTCATCAGGGAATTACCTTCCTGCTCCACCTCACTCTGCCCAAATCAAGAAATATCAGTAAAAAAGAATTAAACTAAAAAAAGGAAATGAAAAAGTTTCTCATGATTAACCAAACCAGCTCAATCCAAATTAAGTTGGACAGTTCATTCGGTATAATCGAGTTCATCTATTTAGGAAATATATTATTTACATTGTTTTATAAAAATTAAGTATAAAATATAATATATAATAAAAATCATATATTATGTTCTATAACATAATTAAATTGAAAACATTGTACTTGAATATCAGTTTTACATTAGATAGAACTAATTCCTCAAATGTAATTTATTTCTTTTACTAATTACTTTTCCATTTCAATGAGAAAGAAAAAGAAAAAACTAAGTAAAGAAAACGAGACATCGAAAATAGTAGACATAAGAGGATCACATGACACAAACATAGCATGAAAAAAGTGAAAACAATACAAACACAATGTAATATCATGAAAACAATGCAAACGCACAAGTATTCAATATATATATATATATATATATATAATGAATTACTAATGTATCAAAATTCTATATAAATATAAAATATTTTCAACCTATGAAAAGCACGTTAACTACAAATTCATATTTGATATCCTAGGAAAGGATTTCAAAGAACTTATGTAAAATACATAACAGAACATATATGCTCAAATTTTCAGATCTACGCAATATTTTGATTCAATTTGGAAAAAAAAAGATTGCTATATTTTGTATTTAAAAGGGAACCGAATTCCATAGATAATTGATTCAAACTAACCTGAACTAAATCCATCAGTTCGGTTCGGAATTTATTTAAAATTTGGAAAATATCCTTTTAAATAATGTTTCTAAGTTTTTTCAGTAATTTAAATAATAAAATATTCATTTTATGTTATAAAAATTCAAAATAAATAAAATTCGGTCCATTTCAATTTGAACAACAACTGTCTTTAAGTTATCAGCCAAAACTTAATATATTTTACCGTTACTTGAATCAAAAGCAAGTTGATTTCCAAAAAAAAACTCCGAGCCAAAGTGAAAGGAACACTAGAGAAGTACAGCTATAATCAATATTCGGTTTTCTCAATGTTTTCTCAGCCCTACGCAAAATATTCATTCAAAATGCTTCTATTTGAAATTAAATTGAAAAGAAATCATTTTTTAAATGGAATTGAAAGTCAGCAAAACCTCAGAAGTAGTGAAATGCGTTCTTGAAAGTGGAGGATTACGGGAGACCGAGCGACCACGTCCCCTTGTATCCACAACGGACAAGCTCCGAGACAACTCCTTGCTATTCCCCGAACCCGACCCGTGTTTTCCATCGGAGCCAAATCTGGAAACAGATCTGCCTCTCTTATTATTATAATCATCAGCGGAAGTAGCTTTGGGCTTCGTTTTGGAAGTGATTCTGGCGGATTCAAGGACGGAATTTCGGAACCTAGCTTCGCCATCGTCGTCGTTGCTGTTTCTGTTGTTGTTGACAAAGAGAGGATTGTCTCTTTTAATGGAGAAGTCGGAATTAGAGATTCTTGAGAAGGCACTTACGCTTCTGGATCTCCGAGGAGGAGCTGCCGCAGCTCTTTTGGAAGAGTTAGACGATGTGGAGGACGACGAGGGTGTTGGATTCCCTCTTCTTAAAGAGGATTCAAACGCCATTAATCTTTTCTTTGGGAGGAGTCGATAAAAACGAGAGTGGAAGCAGGGACAAGGGATTCTGTTTTTTCCCCTTTTTAAGCATCACAATAAAATAAAGGAAAAATAATAATTTTGTCATTAACTATAGAGCAAGTTTAATATTTAAATTATAATTTTTTTCCTGTTTTGGTACTTAAATTAAAGGAACTGTATATATCACTTTTTATAGGTAAATTTATCATTCGTTACTCAATTATATTCTCACTCTTATTTTAGTCATTAAAATTTTTTAAATTTAATAATTTAAATTTCAAATTACTCTTAATTTCATCACTCTAACTTTTAATTTTGTTTTTTTTATTTTAATCATATATTAATAAAATAATAATAATAATAAATGTCATAAAAATATTAATAAAATAAATTAGAGTGATTAAAACATAAATAATTTGTAAGTTGAGTAGTTAAATTGAAAATTTTTAAACTTCGGTGACTAAAATAGGAGTGGAAAGGGATGAATGATGTAATTCACCAATAAAAAATGTCACATATAGTCATTCAATTAAATTTTTAACGACAAAGTATCGAAATAAAATCTAAACTAAATATTAAATATGATTTTGAAAAAAATAAAACTTAATTAGTAAAACGGAACAAAGATAATAATTTAAATACTAAAATTGTAATTTACCCTTTGATTTTATCAGCTGCATTTATGTAAGCTACTACTAGATGGCGCTCGCGCTATTCACATTTAAATCTAATAGCACGTGCGGCGCCATTTAACGACTTGAATTTAGATCTAAAAATTACCGCTACAAATTAGAAATTAAAATGAAACAAAAGAAAAATTAAATGGAAATTAATTTAAAATTTTAATTGATTCAACGGTTTAAAAATTGTTCGGTAAAGTTTATATCAAATTCTGTAGTTCGATCCGTTATGTCCTTTTCCCATTGCTCCGTGCATAATAACAATGAAAAAGATGACTGTAACTGTAGTTGGACATATCTGCCATATGGGACTGTTTAAAGCGGACATTTTCGGAACACAGGCTAAAAAACGTAGGGATGGTTATTGGTAGGATCGAATTGAATTTTTAGCTCATTTAAATTTAATCCGAATATTTTTTTTATACACATGAAAAAATCAGAAAGTTAATATCTTAATTCACCCTCTCCATTCTTATTTGCTTCTAACGATGCCAGCAAATCAGTTGGAGGCGTCTGCAATATAGACAATTCATTGTCTCGTCATAAAGCCAGGTTTGCCAATTCAACAGCACATTTATTTCCTTCGCGCCAAATATGTCGTACATCTACTATCCATCCTTCTTTAAAGATGTTTATGCATTTGTTTATTAGACCCATATCCACTGAGACATTCATCTTCTCGCCTTTGAAGAGATCCACAACCCACTTAGCATCCATCTCTAAAATCACATTCCTTAAGCCAAAACTTTTTTCTAAAATCATACCCTACCGAGCCCCCCAAATTTCAGCGATCAAGCTGTTCACTCTTCCTAGTCGCAGCGTGAATCCAACTTTCCAATCCCCATTATTATCTCGGATCAAGCCTCCTGTAGCTGCCAAACCTTAACTCATTTTGTAAACACCATAAGTATTTAAAATCCATCTTCCCTCAGGCGGTTTTTCCAATTAACCCAATACGAATCGTTTATCATCTTTCTTTGGGGGGTTGTCCAGGCTTTCTCTATATCTCTAGCAAACTGTTTAGCTTGCTTAACTACTTCAAACGGATATGTTCTCGTGTCATTGAATATTCTATCGTTTCTGCTCTTCCACATACCCCAAATAGTAACAAAAAACAAGGGACCCCATTCTAAATCCTTTATTCCGGGTTTCTTTGAAAGACTATTCGTTTTTAACCAACTTTTGAAATCCATCAAGCCGAATTGTCTATCATGGTCCCACGCTTTCAGATCTTCCCAAACGATTCTTGCTATAGGACATGATCGAAGAATGTGATTTATCGACTCAACTTCGTTTCTACAAATTTTGCAGTTTATGTCTTGAGTCATGTTTTTCTTGACTCTAACTTCATTTGTATTCAGTTTGTCCAAGTAAGATAACCAAACGAAAAATCGAATTCTCTCGCTAGTCTTAGTACTCCAAATCCACTTAAGATTTTCCCCCGTTGAACCTCAATCTCCATGTTATTAATAGTTTGGTATGCTGAGTTTACTGTAAATTTGCCATCCTTGGCAAAACCCCATGAATTTTTGTCATGTTCCTGGATGTCTTCAAAATAGGAATCGGAACTCTTTTAATTTCCTCCCTTGTTTCTTCAGAGATCAAATGTTGTATTTCACGGATGTTCCACGATTTGTTATCCAACTTTTACAAGGGTGAGCATTCGATTGAGTCGAGTCAAATAAATTTTTTTTGAATTATTCTAGTTGACGAGTCGTATTTTATAAATCAAACTTTACTTAAAAAAAATTTAGTCAAGTTATTCGAGTTTCTATATTAATTTTATTATAATTATTTATAGAATTATGATAAAGATTGGTTCTAACTTTTTGACTTTCTCTAACAATGTAAGATATATATATATATATCATATTCTTTTCTCATTATAATATTATTTAATATATCAAATAAATCTAAAATTATGAAAATACACTCATAATATTATATTTTAAATAAAGTATTTTGAGGGTAAAAATATTGATGAGAGTATAAAAAAATCAAGGAATTGATGCAAAGAAAAAATTTGTAAACCATTGCAATCAAAAGATCAAATTGAGTAAAATGCAAAGTTAAGGGACTAAATAAAAAAAAGGGTTAATTTTTTTGTAAAAATAATAATAATTGAAGTTACATAGATATTCTATAGTGGTATATAAGCATGTGGTTAATACTTGGTGAAAAACAAATTTAAAATACATGATGATTTGAAGAAATAAGAAAATTATGAAAAATTGAAGGACTAAATTGAAAAATAAGAAAATTGTTAAAAAAAAATGTGAAATTGAAAGGACATATGTATTATACAATGGTTTAAAGCATGTGGTTCAAATTTGGTAAAAAATTGACTTAAAATGAAGGAGAAATGGAAGGAATAATGAAATCATAGATTAAATCGTAAAATTATCAAAATACTTAGTCAATTTTTTGGGTTTTCGAGTAACTCGAATTTTTAAAAATTCAACTTAACTCAAAAATCGAATTGATAATTCGAATTGACTTGAATAACTCAAAATTGAAAAAAAAATTAATTTTTCAAGTCGAGTTTTACTCACCTCTAACTTTATCCGTACTTTTTAAAAAATCATTAAGTCCAAAATTTGATCTGATTTTTAAGATAAAATATTATTAAGTTAAATAGTAACCTAATTGAAAAAAAATATAGATAGAGACTATTATAACAAATATCCCTAAATATATAAATATTAATTACAATATTATTATCAGGTCATATCATATATTTTTCACACTAAATTCGAATCTAATCCTATCAAAATCAAAATTTTCTTTGTTTAATCTAATATTATAAAATCAAATATAGATTGAAAATTCATGGATTAAATATACATCTGGAAGTATATTGTCAATATAGGTAAGGCCAGAATGCAGCACCACTCTCCTATTGTTGATTGTAGCCGTTAATTATCTGCATGGTTAAATGGCAGATAAGATCACAAGTCAAATCTAACAGTATTAGATAAGAAACTGATAAGCTAACTTATTTTCTGCATAATCGATTCCTGTAGCTGTTTATGTTGAAATTTTCGATTTGAATTTAACAGTATTAATGATTGAACTTGAATTTAAAGAAATTAATATATTTATTCTAACAGTGTTAACAGTTGGACCTATATAAAGAGACTAAATTCATGGAGGAAAAAAAAATAGAATGATCAAGTTTCAAGTGGGTGAATAGTATAAAGACCTGACACATATTTTAACCATTAATTTATCATATTCAAAGTTTTGATATTCAAATGCATCCATGAACTTGACTTGAACCATAGATTAGCATTCTACAAATAGACTACAAAAACGCCATCAGACATGATATTCCATACATTTCCAGTTCCTCTGCAATTAATGGCAGCCATAGCAGAAGAACAATCATTAAACATTAAAGATGAAATGCATAGAGAGCTGCATGCAACCAGAAGCTCAACAGAAATAACCTCGGAATTTCGACGATCCATATGCAGGGTTGTAGGCTTCGGTCCTATCTGAATGCGGAATACCGTAATTGAATGTCAACTCAGTCATGGGAGGGATGTGTTTCTTTGCAAGAAAAATCCTATATGGAGAAACGCTTCGTTGTTGCTTTCATACGTGACTGGCTGCCAGAAAACATTCGGAAAAGAGAAACTGTGGTCCATAAACAAAGCTACATTTCCACTGTTCTTCGAACTTGTGATTAAAGGAAACGGGATATCGAAATCTTCTGTACTTCCAGTTTCGATATTCCACTTGAAGGTTACACTAGTGTGAATGATTTCGGATATTTGACAGTCGGAGAATATGTCAAGTATGCAGGCCCCTGTTCATCTTCAACCTCATTTACTAGTGACACAGGTGTTCGTTCCGCACCCAAAATGAGATCAGGAAGAATAAGTCCGACCCTCGAAGACAGACCTTTCCACTTCTGAACGGATTTCAGAGGGGCAAAAGCAACTGGCTGTCCAGGGATCCTTACCAATTTAGACTTGAACATCTGCAACCTGATTTCCCTGTCTCCATCCACGACTATTGAATCTTGTAAAGTCCTACCGTACACGTAAACCTACGATATTTGATGGATCCTCTTCTCCATCCACGACTCTTGGATTTTGTAAAGTCCATGTACGCATAGACCTTCTACATTTGATGGATCCTGGATGAGGATGACATTGAATTGCTAGAAGATGACGTGATCAGAGGAGGTTGTCGTGGTTTCCTTGATCGACTTTTCTACATTTGATGGATCCTGGATGAGGATGACTTTTAATTGCTAGAAGACGATGTGACCAGAGGAGATTGTTGAAGTTTCCTTGATCGACTTTTCTAGCAGTTCAAACACAAAACCTTTTCATCTCATGGACATCG